AAAATTAAAAAAAAAAAAAAAAAAAAAAAAAAAGCTGAAATGCAAAAGGAAACTACTGGATACCGAGGGAGATCGCTCGTCTGCTTTCGTCGGCGGAGAGTTTAAATTATTTAAAATAAAAATAAAAATAGAAAGAAATGCGAGGAGAAAAACAAAATGATTAAAAAAAAGTCAATGTATTAAAAAAAAAAAATTAAAAAAAAAAATAAATCAGCTTTTCTGCAGAAAAGTTCTGCTTTTCCTGCCCGGCCCTCCCCACAGCATCACATGGGGGAACGCAGAGCGCGGGAGTGAATTTCTGCCATTTAAGACAAAATATTCCCCATCCAAACGGGGCGCGCGTCTCAGTTCAGAAAAATAAGACACTATTATAGCACTATTAAATAAATCTTCATACTTTGTTTTGCTTTCTTTTTTTCCTCTTAAGAGCCTCCAATGACACCGCTGAGCGTTAAAGCATACAGGTTTGCGAGCTCGTCGTTAAGCGGAGCGCGGTTTCCAAGCATCCCCCTTAAAATTGGCACTGCTCTACAGGGACGTTGCTTTCCCTTGGTCCCCCAGTGCCCCCCGTTTTAATGCCAGCAAAGGGCGAGCAGCCCAAATCCACATTGGGAAGCTCCGAGGTCGCTGGGTTTTTCCAAGGCTTTAAGTGCTCCCACGCCGTCCCCGTTCCCCAACCCCTTCCACCTCCTCCCCAGCGACGTGGAAAAAATATATATATAAAAAAAAAAAACGACGACAACAACACAAAAAAGAATTAAAAAAAAAAACCAAAAAAAAAAACCCCAACATTTCTGTAATAATTTAGTTAGAATAGCTCCTCTCTGGGTTTGTGCAAATAAATTAAAAACGACACAAGGGAAAGGGGGGGGAAAAAAAAACACAGATTCCAGAAGGCGTTACGACGAGCCCGTGTGCTGCCACCTCCTCGGGTGAATGCGATTTGGGTGGGTTTCGTTTCTTGGTTTTGCTTTCTTTTTTCCATGTCTCTGAAGATGTTGGGGTCCCCTTTTCTGAAGTGGGGTCCCCACGCAGGACAGGCTCCAAAAAAAAACAACCAGCGGTTTCGGACAAGAGACGTCACAAGCACAAAGTGCACGAGATTCCCGTTATTTACAGACACACAGCAGTCCTTCAAGTTTCAAGTTTTGTCGAAAAGGAGGGAGGTTTGGGGAACGAAAACGAAACAAACGAAAGAAAACAAGGAAAAAAAAAAAAAATAATCCCCCAAACGACAAAAAAAAAAAAAAAAAAAAAAGAAGTGACGACAAAAGGAAGAATTACTGGAATGCTTAAAAAAATAAAATTGAAATACAAGGGGGGAAGGGTTGGGACAAAATTACACCGTGACTGGGTGTGCACACATGGGGGCTGTACATTGTTGGGGGCGAGGGGTCACCAGTCCGCGTCCTCCTCGATGTAGTAGTCGGGGGCCGTGCCATCAAACAGCCCTGGGTCGAGGGATTTGCGCTGCTTGCCCCGGGCGAACACCCGTGAGATGGAACCAAAGCCCATCTTCTCCTTCTTCTTTTTCCGTTTTTGGTCCTCGAGGTCTTCCAGAGACTGCAGGGAGAGGAGGGGTGGAGGTGGTATGGCTGATCTTTGGGGTTTTGCTGAGGGATTTGTCACTAAGGTGTTGCCTGCATTGGGGCTGCGAGATGTGGTGAGGCTCCCATGCATGAGGTAGGCAACCCATCCCCACTGTGTGCTCACTAAACTATGTCACAGAATCACCAGACCACGAAGGTTGGAGAAGACCTCCAAGATCATCAACACGTCCCTACCATACCCACTGATTGTGTCCCCCAAATTGAATGATAGAATAATCAAGGTTGGAGCAGACCTCCAACACCATCAAGTCCAACCATCAACAGACCCTACCATGCCCACTGATCGTGTCCCCAAATTGAATGATAGAATAATTAAGGCTGGAGCAGACCTCCAAGATCATCAAGTCCAACCATCAACCCATCCCCACCTTGCCCACTGATCGAATCTCTAGACAGAATCATGAAAGGTGGAGAAGGCTTTCAAGATCATCAAGTCCAACCATCAACCCAACCCCAAATAGAATGATAGAATAATTAAGGTTTGGAGAAGACCCCCGAGGTCATCAAGTTCAACAATAAACCTATCCCCACCTTGCCCACTGATCGTGTCCCTAAATAGAATCATTAAATTTGGAGAAAACCTCCAAGATCATCAAGTCCAACCATCAACCCGCCCTGTCACGCTCACTGACCACATTCCCAACACATCTCCATGTTGAACACCTCTGGGGATGTTCAACACCACCAAGTACACAGAACCCAATGAAGGTTCTGTGAGGTCCAGGTCCTGAACTTTTGTATCTGAAGTCATTGGGAGACCCTACCTCTTCCCACCCCACGTTATCAGGAGTTTGGTTTCTCAATGCCATCGCTATAGGATGTCAGCTACATGGCACAGCCACAGGGAGGCCTAGCTACCATCTGCATGAACACCCCCAGCTTTTTAGGGTAAAACATTTAAGAATAACTCAATAATTCCATCGGTGCCTCCAGGTATCCCCAAAACCACTCTCTAGTGCAGGATGTGCTTTCGGGAGCAGGGTTTCCAGTGGATTGCAGCCCTACCTGTACGATGGGGTTGTGCAAGTTCTTCTGTACCGGTCCGGGGCTGTCCCCCTGCAGCAAGAAGGGGAAACGGGTGATGTTGGGCACCCTACAGTACCTGGGCACAACGTGGGCACCCTACAGTACCTGGCTGCCCCTGGGACTTACGTTGCAGAGCGAATGCGTCCGGTGTCGCGGCGAGTTGATGTCGCTCGGCGTGGACGATCGGTCGCCTTCTGCTGCTGACGCGTCGGAGATGATGGACGGCTGCCTGGAGTGGCAGGGGCTCACCCGGACTGCTGTGAGGCAATGGGGAGATGGGGGGTCAGCAGTGGCAAAGCTGGGGTGTAGGGCTGCCCCCCAGCGTGAGCGAAACCCTCATGCAAACGCCAGATCCTGTGCAAGAAGCCAGCAATACCCCGGGCGTAACTTAAATTCCTATGCAAAACCCTGCAGTGCAAAACCCAAATCCACCAGTAACCCAGGTGATCCTGCTCAAAACCACAGCAACTCCCCGTGCGAAACCTAAACCTCTGTGCAAAACCCCAGTGCAAGACCTAAGCCTGCTTAAAACCAATTCCTGTTCAAAAACTCAACAGTTCCCAAACCCTTTACGCAAAACCTGAGCCTGCTGTGCAAAATCCCCAGTATGCCCTGTGCAAAACCCTGGGTTCTGTCCAAAACCCCAGCAACTCCTGGTGCAAAAAACCTAAACCCTTATGCGAAACTCCAGCCTGCTCTGCAAAACCTAAACCTGTGCAAAAAGTCTGATCCTGTGCACCTCCTTGTGCAAAACAACCCCAAGTATTCCCTGTGCAAAGGTTCTGTTCACAATCCCAGCAACCTCCTATGCAAAACCTAAACTCCCATGAAAAACCCCAGCCTGTTGTGCAAGGCCTAAACCTGTGCAAAACCCTCTGCAACCTCCCATGCACAACCTCAACCCCCATGCAGAGGCTCAGCCCACGGTGCAATAAAACAAATGCGCCCTGTGCAAAACCCAGATCCTGCTCTACACCCCAGCAACCCCCCTGTGTAAAACCTAAACCCATAAAAACCCAAGCAACCCATGTGCAAGAAGGTTGATGCTGTCCTAAACCCCAGCAACCCCCTGTGCAAAACCAAACCCCTGTGCAAGACCCAGACCCATGCAAAACAAACAAGACCCCTCCATGCAAAACCACCGATCCCGTTCAAGATCCCAGCAACAACCCAAGCAAAAACAAAGCTGGTGGAGGTCTCACCTTGCCGGTCAGCCGAGTGTGCGGGGTGGGAGTGGTACAGGGTCTGCTGGCTCTGTCGGATGGCAGCAGTGAGTGGTAGGTCAGCTTGCAGCACCCACTCCTGGTTGCCATTCAGCACCGTCTCACCTGGCATGGCCAAGGAATGGCGCTTGGGGACGTCCTTGGTCAGCGTGGCCAGGGATTGCTTGGCCTGTGGGGACACCGAAATCAATACTTGGATGCAATGCTGCAGCACTGGAGATAGCATGTGGATGCAATGCTGCAACAAACCCATGCAATGCAGCAGCAAACCCTAAAAATGCAATCTGGTGACAGTGCTCAAACGCAACACTGCGACTCCGCTCCATTCACCTCGATGCAACAAATGCTGAGCCCTGACCCAAACCAGGCATCTCCCACAGCTGGGAAATGCTGTAAGGCTGAGCTCACCATGGCCAGCTCGGCCTCCAGCTCCTTCATTCTGTTGTCTTTGAGGTCAAGCTGGGAGCGCAGGGCGCTGGCGTGGTCGGTGGCTTCCTTGGCTTGCCGCCGCAGCTCCCATTTCTCCCGTTCCAGCAGGTCCTTCTCCTTGGCCAGGGCTTTCACTGCATCCTCACTCTCCTGGTGCAACACAGGGAAGGTGTTGAGACAGGGAATGGCCGAAATTTCCTCCTTCCTGGCCCTCCCTGCAGGTACCGTGTCCCAAAACGGGACGCCTGTGCACCAAAATGGGATCCTTGTGTCCAAGATGGGACAGCTGTATCCCAAAATGGGATGCCTGTGCGCCAAATCGAGAGGCCTGTGCCCAAAACTGGACACCTGTGCCTCAAAATGGGATGTCCGTGCCCCAAAATGAAACTGGACACCTGTGCCCCAAACTGGATATCCATGCCCCAAAATGGGATGCCTGTGCCTGTGTAAAATGAGACATTTGCGCCTCAAACAGGATGCAAGCACCGTGCCCCAAAGCTGGAGAGCACTGCCAGCACCTCACTCCATGCTCCTTGCTTTTTTTCTGTGCACTGACGATTGTAATGAGTTCCTCGTGGCAGGGGAAAAAATGTCCCCGTGGCTGCCCCAGTTAACCCAGAGCTGGCTGTGAGCGCTGCTCCTATGGCACCAGCCTTCAAAAATAGCAAATTTCTCCCTTTGCATGGAAAAAAGCCCAGAATAGCTGTGGGAGCTGAGTTCCCACGCTCGCTCGTGCCTGCGGATGGCAGAACCGCGAGCACAACAGGAAGCCTCGCTGCAACCCCCCAGCTTTCCATCCCGAAAGCATCCCAAAAATGCTCTTTATTACAGAGCAACTGTTTGTGTGTGTGCTCTGCACGCTCCAACCTTGCAGGCACACTGGGAGCAAGCTGCCTTAGGGCTTTGGCTAGCAAAAGGGAGCAGTTAAATGGGGCTGCCTGGAGATATGGTGGTGACGCCCTGCAGACACCCAAGGTCAGGCTGGAGGGGTTCTGAGCACAGATAGAGCTGTGGGTGTCCCTGTGCACTGCAGGGCGATTGGCCCAGATGGCCTCTAGGGTCAACCCCAAAGAAATCCAACCTGAAGCCCCAAAGGAAGAGAAGCCACGCTCTCACCTTCCGGTGCTGCTCGTAGTTGCGGATGAAGTCGCGGAGCTGCTCCTCGCGGCTCTCCAGCGTGGCGTAGAGCTGCTGCATTTGGCTCACCAGGTCTGTTTTCTCCGCCTTCAAGCGCTTGCGGTCGGCTTTCATGGCTGCAAAGAGAGCAGTGGGGTAACCTGGGTCCCCAGCATCACCACCTTCTGTAGGGTTGGCTTCCTGCTGCTGCGTTCCAACACACCATAAGGTCAGACTACACGATCCTAGAGGTTTTCGCCAACCTTAATGACTCTACGATCACATTTGTAGAATCACATCATAGAATGGCCTGGGCTGCAGAGGAGCACAACGTTCATCCAGTTCCAACGCCCTGCTGTGTGCAGGGTCACCAACCAGCAGACCAGGCTGCCCAGAGCCACATCCAGCCTGGCGTTGAATTCCTCCATGGATGGGGCATCCACAGCCTCCTTGGGCCTCCTTGTTCCAATGCATCACCACCCTCTGTGTGAAAAACTTCCTCCTAATCTCTAATCTAAGCCTTCCCTAATCACATTCATGTGATTCCAAATGGAAGAACTACCAGCCCTGCACAGGAGGGATGCACAAACCCATCGTGTCGCATTAACATTCACTTAATTTCTCCTGTTTCTCCATTCCAACCATGAAATCCAATGTTGTCACTGTGATTAACCCATAAAATTGGGCAGCCTTGCGTGGGGATCTTTGCTCTGTAATTAAATACACACTCATTGAGCCCAGCCTTTGACACCTGCACGCAGCATCTTGCTGGCACTCTGCAGCCAGCATCTGCCCATGCAGAAATGGGACATCCCAGTGCAACACTGGCTTTTAGGAAAAGCATTTCCATGGGAGATTCTGCCTTGGAGGAATTTGCCTGGAAACGCCCCAGCAGGAAGCCAAAGGCTTTCCAAACCAAACCAGACCCAAATGGGCAACAAGGAGGTGGTCACTGCCTTATGTTGGGATGTTAAGGGTCTTTTTCAGATCCTTGACCACGGTCATCTACCTCCATATCTCCTGGGAACCCCACATCCATCCTTATCTACCAGATTCACCTCCATCTCCTGGGGGATCCTGTATCCACCTCCTTCTCATGGGGATCCCTTATCTACCCTTATCTGCTGAGGGACACCAGATCCAGCTCCATCTCCTGGGGACCCCACCTCCACCCTTATCTGCTGGGGGACCCAGCATCCACCCCCATTTCCTGGGGGGACCCCCCATCCACCTCCACCTCATGGGGACTCCATTTCCACTTCTATCTGATGGGGGACCCCAGATCCACCTCCATCTCCTGGAGACCCCATATCCACCCTCACCTGCTGGGGGACCCCAGATCCCCCCCACTCCACCTCACAGGATTCCCCAGGACTTCACACGATTCCATCCTGGACATTCTGCTATCACAAAATAAGGCCCAAAGGACAGAACCAGCCCAGAGGAAGGAGCTGCAACACAACATCCCACACCACTCCAGTTCTTTGCTGGGAGATGTAAACGGCTGCACGACGGCAGCAGGAAGAGCTGCTCTCCTCTCCCTTCCGCAGCAGGAAGGGCTCGCTGGCGTGGGACAACCCAGGAAGGCATTTCCCTACAGATCGAGGCTCCACTCACGCCTCTCCAACCCCAAACCAGACCCTTATGGAGGTGCTGGGATGCCACAGAGGCTGGATCCTCCCCTCCCCTCCCTCACCCTCTGCCTCCGCAGTGCTTCCAGGCTCTCAGCCAAGCATGGCAGCGGATTTCCCTAACGTTCCCCTACAATTTCCCCATCACTTGCCTGCTAAGAACACAGCGTGCATGCAGCCAGCAGGGAGGATGCTGCAGCCGTGCGTGGGGACAGGAGCCTGAGATCCTGCAGCCGAGCAGAGCCTGGCCACGTTCCCATCAGCACCATTCCCCAAATGTAGGGGTTTTCGTTTTTTTTTTTTCCTTTTCCTTTTTTCTTTTTCTGGTGCTGCTGCCCTTTTTGTTTTTGGCAGGAGTTTTCATGGGAAGGAAAAAGGATTTCTGCAGCGTCCCGTAAGCGCTGTGCTGCCGCCCAGCCCGTGGGGATGGATCCAGCTCTGTAGGCTTTGCCAAAGGACGGGAAAAGGCTTCCAAGGTTGGAAGGAGGGAGGAGGAAGGGATGTGAATGGGCTGTTGGCTGAGCTGCTCACAAGTGTGAGTCGAGATTCCCTCGCCCCATCCCTCACACCTGCAAGGAAGTCCTGCAAAACAAATCCCAGTGGCTTCTATAGCTGACCAGTAAGAGCCCAACTGAAAGAAAGCAAAGCATCACCGTATTCTTGAAGCATTTGTGATTCTCAAACCATTAGGGCAGAGCAGTGGAAAGCTTGCTGCTCAGTTTTGGCTTTTTGCATACAACTACACCACGATTTCCCATGGAGAGGGGGCAAGCCATCCTGCTCAAATAGCCCACAAGAACCATTTCCAACCCTTGGAACGTAGCAAAAACTCTAAAAAAAAGTCTTTTTGTTTTATGTGCACACCATCAAAGAGCAATAAAACTGAAAACTGAAAAAGACCAGGGATGACTTTTCTTTTTCCTTCCCTTTTCTTTATCCTTCCTTCTCCTTTCCTTTCCCTCTTTTTTCCTTCCCTTAACTTTTCCCTTTTCCTTCCCTTCCTTCTCCTTCCCTTCCTTTTCCCTTACCATTTCCCTTTCCCTTCTCTTCCCTTCCCCACAGCCCCACACAGTGCCCTCACCCTGGGTACCATATCATCCAGCCTTCACTTACTCGAGTTTATTCACCAAGAAGTGCTTTTTGGAGGAGGAAAGCCTCCAACATCAGGTTCTGTCCTGCAACACAACCCTTCAGCAAGCTCCATGCAGGAGGATCACAGAATCACAGAATTGTAGGGGTTGGAAGGGACCTCCAGAGATCATCGAGTCCAACCCCCCCCCAAAGCAGGTTCCCTACACCAGCACAATGCATGCATCACCAAGCAATGCTCTGCCTCCTTCCTCAATGGCTCCAAGGAGCTCAAACCTGAACCAAACCCATCTCATCATACTCTCCATGTGCATTTCAGCTCAGTTTTGCTCTGTACAACGACGACTTTGCGCCTGACTTGCCCAATTTCCCAGCCTGCTGGGGATGCTCTGCTTGCACACCCAACCTCACCCCACAAAAACACACCCCCTCACCCAAATAACAGGGATAGCTTTTCCTTCCCTGGCTAATTAATTTGCTCTGGGGTTACGGGATGCGTGGAATAAAGCCCTAGAGGGAAAGGCAGCCCTTACCCTGCAGAGCCTCCTTGGCCCGTGCCAGCTCCTGCTCCTTCTGTGCCAGCTGCACCTTGAGCTCAGTGGCCGACAGCACCTCGGGGGATTTGCTGCCATGTGTCTCCTCCAGCTCCTTCGTTAGCATCTCCTTCATTTGCCGGAGCAGGTGCACCTCCTCCTGCAGCTGGGCCACCTCCTCTCTCAGCAGTGCTGGGGAGACAGAAACAGCAAGTGAACAGGAGCCATAAAACCAATGCCTGCACTGTGTGGGTCCTTCCCCCACTGTTTGGTCACACAGTATGGGAATTTGGGGCTTATTTTGGAAAGAAACAGCCCCTGCCCTACCTGCACTGCTGCCTCCCACCTTCCCTATAGATGCAGAATAAATGGGGCAGAGCCAGCATAGTGCTGGTCCCCCATCCCTGAGCCAGCAGCTGCTCCGGGAAGGCATAAAATCTGCTTTGCATACTTGAAATGCTTCCCTTATGAAAACTGGCAAGGCCTCCTTCTGTAAATTATTTAGCAATAAAGTCACTAACGAGGAACATTCGAGCTGTGGGCTGGGGATTTCATTAAAGTCCAGAGTGCTTTCTTGAAATTCTCACAAAAAGCTCGGATAAATCGGTGTCCGAGAGCACAGCTCAGCTCTGCCCACGTTACCATTTCCCAAGGGGCAGGAGAAATTCAGATTTTTGGCCTCTAGCACGTGGGAAATCAAGGCAAATGCACCGGGTCCATGCAGTGCAAGCAAAGCCTGGCTGAGCAGACACACAATGTGTGCACTGCCAAAGGCCATCGGTACAAAACTGAGTGCCTGGCTGCGGTGTGAAGCTTCCCTCCTGCACACAGACCTGCCTCCCCAAACCCCATTAAAATCCCCTTTCCCCCACTTCTGCACACGACCATTCCCATGTCCTTACCACCCCAAATGCCACAAAAATCCCATTTCTGCAAGCAACCAACCACACAACTCCATTGCCATCCATTCTTTCTCCTCCCATGCCCACCCCAGCCCTCCTTGTGCTGTTTCTCCCCTCTCACAACCCCAGCCATCAGCCCCATGGCCAATGATTAACCACACACGTTCAACTCCAACCAGCTCCTCTGCAAGCCATGCTATCAGCTAATTAAATCCCCATCAGGATTCATTTGGTGCCTACTGCATCCCCACTTGCATATGGACAATGCTGGTCCAATCATCCCAACTGAAGGTCTTAGGTTGGAATCATAGAATGGTCTGAGTTGAAAAGGACCACAGTGATCATCTAGTTTCAACCCCCCTGTTACGTACAGGGTCACAGATGTACAGTGAGGTCTGTGAGATTCTACAGGTCCTACCTAGGATGCAATAAATACATGAGGCCAAACCAGTGTGCTTGGCAAGCAACAAACCTTAAATCTTCAAAATCTTTTTGTGCTTATTAACTTCTTACCTTTTTTTTAGAGAACTTTTTGAACCCCTTGTTTTATTGCTAAAAAAGTGACTTTTCTACAGAGATGCACAGTTGGTGGGAGAGAAGGAGCCCCAACCATGGCAAGGATGGTTCACCCAAGGGCATTTCATACCTACCCATCTACCTGCATCTCTGCACCTCTACCCAATGGTACAACGTACAACCCAGCTATCTATCTCTATCTGTCCATCTAATGGTGTCTCTACACGTGCACCAAAGTACAACTCATAAACTGAAGGTTTTGGGGGATAAATCCCGTATCTCTTGCTATGCTCAAGCAAGTCATGCTGGGAGCTGCATGGATGCTGAGAGAAACCTTTCAGCAGGAAATAAACCAAACCCCCATGCTCTACGTCCAGCTTAAGCATCTCAATGAATGTTCCACATCCCCATACATCACTGGGAGCAGCTTACAACCCCACCAGGAGATGCTGCCCCAGACCCAACCGCACACCATCCATCCCTGCCTTCATCCAAACCAGCTCAGATTCAACCCAAGGTGCTGGAAGGAGCCCACCCCCTTCTTCACAGCATCACAGGATCTTCTGTTTCACCTCCCTATGGCCAAACCCCAGTGTAAAAAGCTCCCACAACGCATTTTTCCTCTCTTTTTTAACCCTATTTTTTTTTTGCCCTCTTCCCTTTTTGCTTCACTGGCTGGGCTCATCCCCACCCCATAACGAAGCACCGCAATTAATGGGGATGGAAGGAGCTCCCTCCTCGCACTGCAGCACCCAGAGCAGCCAGAAATCAACGCCACTTAAACGTTTCCTAATTGACAAAAAACTGCCATTCGCACACTTAAATAATTGGCTGTTAATTATATTTTAGCTGATAGCATTCAACATCCACGACCCAGCCGCATTCTCCACCCTTTACGCTCTGAGCACCGATTAACTGCTGACAGACAATGCAAATAACCAGAGAGATCATTATTATTATTTTTTTAAAATATTAATAATAATTTTCATTTAATTTTTGGAAGCATCCGTGGCGAACGCCTCTAACGCAGCGCTTGGGCACGGCTGCTTTTTAAACCCAAGCATCAATTTAAACGTTTCCTGGACTCGCTGATGAAAACCTAGACAATAATTAGCTGTTAATTCTACCTCAGCTGATAGCAACAAACTTCCAAGGTGCTGTCAGACCTCCATACATGCACACACACACACACACACACACGGGTACATCTCCCCCTGGGACGGTATCAGAATGGTATCAGAGAAAAGCAGGGATTTAAGGACTTAGGGATGAGTCCAACTCGTACTTGAAGAGCACCCCATGATGGTTCTGGTTTGGTCTGATTTTGGGTACCTGGGGAAGGTTCACACCAAAGCAGCCCTGGTGTGGGAAACATCCATGTGTGTCGTCCCCCTCCCTCCCCCCCTCCAGCAGGCAATAAAATGGGGGAAAACCACCAAATTTCCAGGCTACGTTCCTTTAGAGAGCCCCAAACACACTCTGACCTACAGAAGGACCCCAATGCCTGTGCAAACCCATCGTCCCCATCCCCATCTTGCCGTTGGGACAGCTCCAAGCCTCCCCCCATAGCAGCACTGCCTTCCTGCTGGGATAATCCTGAGGATGTGGCACTTTGCAGAGCCCATCCGTGACCACTGGGGCACCTCCAGCACTGGGATATAAACGAAACCCTACTAACAGCCATACAGCACACGCAGGAGGGGAGGGCAGGAGGATGGAGAGGGTGGCACTGCTGTGATCCCCCCCCCCGGGGGTACAAGGGGAGGGGGGGAAACCCACAGAGCATTGGGGAAGAGCAGAGAGTCGGCGAGGGTTTGGTTTTTGTTTCCTCCTGCAGGGAGCGAAAGGAAGCAGGCAGAAAACAAACAAGGGAAAACGCGGAGAGGGACGGGATAGAAAGCAGCGCGGAAGAACGGCCGAGAGAAAGAAGATTAAAAGCAATCACAAAAATAAGAAATAACAACAAACAGCCCTCAAAACCAAGCGGGGACGCCCGGCGGAACCCCTCCTCTCCCGTTCTCCCCCCACTTCCCTGCCCCATCTCTGAGCTCTTACCCGTGGGATTCCAGCCAGCTCGTCCCACGTTCCCCTGCGTTCCCCCGCTCCCTGCTGCTGTCCCCTTCCTTGTCCCCACTCCCTGCTGCATGGCGGCCATGCAGGGCCCCGCTGGGCTCCAGCCTGATGTCACCCGCCGGAGGAGTGGCTTGTCCTGGCCGGGTAGGAATGCAAAGGAAGCAAAAAGGAACCCGAAAGGAGGCGGAAAGAAGCGCTGGGTGGGGAAACTGAGGCACGGGAAGGCACGGCGCCTGTCGTTTCATGCAATGGGAGGCACGTGTGGTTGATTTTCTGTTGTGCAGTGCTGTTTTATTCCATCAGTCTGGCTTGTGAGCTGCTTCGTGCTGAAGCTGAATGCTGGAGTATAGGAAGGGTCTGAAGCAATGCTTCTTGTGCTGCTGCTGGAAATGAAACAGGGAAATGAACCCTGGGACACCAGCACCTTCGTTAGGGACACGCTCAGCAGGCATGGTGGGGGTGGGATGATGGTTGGAGAGGTCATTGCCAACCTGAATGATACCACGATCCAAGGCTGGGCTGAAAAGCCCAACCTCCACCTGCTCCTGCAGCCCTGAACAACTGGGGTCACCATGAACTTGAGCCTCAGCACCGTCCATCCCCCAAGGGCTGATCCTCTGGGACCACTGCAGGACAGCAGCTGATGAAATGCAGTTACAACACGGGGGCATAGGCAGGGCTGGCAGGGGAAAACCCAGTGCTGGTTTCAGTTTCTTTTCCTGTTGGATTACATTGCTTCAAGTAAAAGCATCAAGGAGAGGTTTCAAAACAAGAGTTGCTTGCTTTTCCTTTTGGTAACTCATCTTTTCTCTTGCAGGAACCCGGCTCTGCTTGCTGCCTGCAAGGATTTCATGCTCCTGAATCACAGAATCATGAATGTTGGAGAAGTCCTTTGAAATCACCAAATCCAACCCCAGCCCCCCGTGCCCACGTCCCTCAGTGCCACATCTCCACAGTGAACACCTCCAGGGATGGTGACCCCTCCACTCCCTGTGCCAACACATCACTGCTCTTCTGGAGAAGAAATTTCCCCAACCTGATGGCTTTGCAACCATTGCTCAGAGAACAACAACAACAGAAAAATCCAAACCTTGCCTTCCATAGAATCATTCAGGTTGGAAAAGAGCACGAAGATCATCAAATCCAACCATCAACCCAACACCACCGTGCCACGAAACCACGTCATTCAGTGGAACATCTTTGTCACATCCCTACCCAGGACATAAACACTGGACCTTTCCCTCCTTAAAAACAAAAAAGACAACTGAAATCGTAAAATCCATGTAAAGAGACAAAAAGCAGCTTTTACCCCCAGCCCTCCCCACCGACATCCACTTGTAGAACTCCTCGTTACAGCACTGGTGACTGCAGAGCACAAACATCACGGTGTCACTGCACAACTACAGCTCCATTTGTGCTGTTTCCCGAACTCATCACACTTCTTGTTTTTTCTTTTCCTTATTTTTTTTTCTATCACGAGAATTATGGCTGTTATCACAGAATGTTGTGCCTAACGACTTCTGGCTTCCTTCGGATGTTTTCATTCAGCTGCTAAAACGCTGTAATGACACTGAGATAATGGCCCGCAGAAATAAATGATACAGATCATAATAGAAGGGATTTGGTTAAAGCAAAAAAGAAAACAAATAGAAATTATCCATCCTAATTAGCATTCACAGACAGCAACTGGGGAAGGAAGGCAGGAAAGAAAGAAATCAAAGAGTTGTTAAGGTTGGAATAGACCTTTACGATCATCAGATCCAACTGTCAACTCATCACCACCATGCTCACTAACCATGTCAGAGAATCACAGAACCAGGGAATCGTTAAGGTTGGAAAAGACTTCTAAGATCATCACAGTCCAACTGTCAACTCATCACCAACATGCCAATTAACCATGTCAGAGAATCACAGAACCACAGAATCGTTAAGGTTGGAAAAGACCTCTAAGATCATCAC